CTACTACAGACTGCACTACTACAGACTGCACTACTATAGACTGCACTACTATAGACTGCACAACTACTGTAGACTGCACTACTATAGACTGCACTACTACAGACTGCACTACTACAGACTGCACTACTATAGACTGCACTACTATAGACTGCACAACTACTGTAGACTGCACTACTACAGACTGCACTACTACAGACTGCACTACTATAGACTGCACAACTACTATAGACTGCACTACTATAGACTGCACTACTACAGACTGCACTACTATAGACTGCACTACTATAGACTGCACTACTACAGACTGCACTACTACAGACTGCACTACTATAGACTGCACTACTATAGACTGCACAACTACTGTAGACTGCACTACTATAGACTGCACTACTACAGACTGCACTACTACAGACTGCACTACTATAGACTGCACTACTATAGACTGCACAACTACTGTAGACTGCACTACTATAGACTGCACTACTACAGACTGCACTACTATAGACTGCACTACTACAGACTGCACTACTATAGACTGCACTACTACAGACTGCACTACTATAGACTGCACAACTATTATAGGCTATTGATCTGAGGGTCGCTGGTTCGACTTCCACCGGTGATAATATTTTTCAAAAATTTTTTACTAAGATTGTCTAGGGGTTATTTTTGACGCTGATCACGAAACACATGTTTTTAGCCTAGATTTCTGCACGGGAAACTAACGAAACGTGAAAACAGCCATTTTTTGGCTCTGCCGCCCTTTACTAAAATAGCTGTAAAAACTTTTAGAAAAGAGATATCTCAAAACGGTTTTTACCAATCGATCCGTCTTGAATTCAGCTTTAGGATGAGCTATAAAACGTCTAAATTCGATAAATTTAAGGGGCAAATTACTCTCCCAAAAAATCGGAAAGGACTTTTCCATCAACCCAATATTATAGACTGCACTACTACAGACTGCACTGTAGACTGACTGCACTATTATGGTATTTAGATAGAACCGTCAATTACAGGGGTTTGTTGCGTAGTGACGATTTCGACTGCTGCTTTCTTCACCTATTATAGACTTAGATTAGCTATAAGATTAGCTATAAGATTAGCTATAAGTTTAGCTATAAGATTAGCTATAAGTTTAGCTATAAGTTTAGCTATATGATTAGCTTGTTGATTGAAATCAAAGCTTTATCTCAATACTCAATACTCAATATCCCTGAAATCTTTTCCTCTCGATCTCAAATCCTCAAATTGATGATCGAATGTGGGGGGAAAAGAACAGCTGACACTCTTTTGAAACATCTCAAGATATTCAGGGAATAGCTCAACAAAAAGAGATTCCGGTAAAAGTTTAGAAAGAGAAAGAAAGGGATATTCCGGGCTACACATTACTCTGACATTTGAAACTCTTTAACACAAAAAAAACCCTCAAAAAAACTACTGGAGAATATTTTCAAAACAACTTGTGACCGAAAAAGAGTCAGATTTCAGCGAACAGGCAAATGTTCTTTTGGATTGGAATGGATACAAAGCCTTTGAAAGTATCGACTTCAAAATTATAGGGTCAAAAAAATCATAAAATAAGAATCTGAAGTTTTTAACTGCTAAATGCTAGAAAGAATAGTAGTGGATCCGGGCGAGCCGAGTTGGCGACCATTTTACGGCTTTCAAAGTTTTCCCAGAAGCTCAAGTCTCTAATCATCGTCAAGATCTCATCGTCAGCTACATTTTCCGACCCCACATCGATAAGTTCTGATAAGCGGTTCTCGAGATTTCGGGCAATTTAGGCGACGCTCAATTTTTAGTCGTTTTTAGCTTAAAATTAACGTTTTGGGGATTGGGACACTCTTTTAAGGAGACTCTCGAACAGGCTCGGTAAGGGGCCGAGTGGCCGAGTGGTTAGCAGCCCCCGCTCCGAGCCAACCCAGCATCGCTGGTTCGACTTCGCCCGGGGTTTTTTTTCTTGCTTTTTTTAAAGCTCATTGCGATGTTTTAACTCCTGTAAGTCGATCTGAAAGTCGATTTTACCCCCTGCACTAGAAAGGGCGGGGGTTTATAAATGAGCACAAAGTACACAAAGACCTATAGGGTTGTTTTCGGTTTTAAAATTTAAACCTACTTTCTCAGCCTGGGCTCCCAACCAGATTCGAGCTACAGGGCTCGCTGGTTCGACTCCTCTCACGGTTTTTCCCACTTTTTAAAGCTTATTTGTTTTACATTTAAAGTTTACTTGTTTTACCTCTTATAAGTCGTTCTGAAAGTCGATTTTACCCCCTGTAATCGATTTGAAGTCGTTTTGAAGTCGAAATCGAGAAACAGTTCTCTAGTTAGAGACAAAAATTTGAATATTGAATAACATGGGGCCCAGAAAGGGAAGGGTCTGTGGTCGACCCCGTCTGCCAAGTTGAGCAACGTTGGCGCGGGTTAGTCGTGGGTTCGACTCCCATGGGTTCCCCCCCGAGCGCCCCAGCCCGGCCATCGGAGTATCATCGGCTACGACAACTACACTTCTGCCTCAGTAAATGTGGAAGCGGGTTGTGATCTGCGCTAAGTGCGAAGACAGATCTAAATCATTATCATTTTATTGAATAACATTGAATATTGAATATTGAATATTGAATAACAATTGAATAATATTTTTCTTTGCGACAACAAATGGACCTTTTTTGGAAAATTTTTGCTAAAATCTGGTTAACTTTTTGGTGAAATTAAAGGGCCAGGCTTGATTCTCAAGGCGATAAGGTTCTGGTTCTGGTTCTGGAAACTTGATCACTGCCCTACAAAATACCAATCGATAGAGAAAGACTTGAAGCATTTAATGATACCAAGAATATTTAAATTGGACAACGCAACACCAAGAAATTTGAGTTCAAATTTTTGCCAATGGCAACGCGTATAAAAGCTCGGTCGCTCCGCCCTTTTTGCTATTAGCATAACTTTGAACGCAAATACCTTGGTGTTGGGCTGTCCAATTTAAATATTCTTGGTATCATCAAATGCGTCAAGTCTTTCTCTATCGATTGGTATTTTGTAGGGCAGTGATCAGGTTTCCAGAACCAGAACCAAAACCTTGTCGCCTTGAGAATCAAGCCTTAAATATTCTTTGATAGCATTAGATGCGCCAAGTCTTTCTCTATCGATTGGTATAAAAACTATTGAAATTGAACAGTTCAACACCAAGATATTTGAGTTCAAAGTTGGATTGACAATGGCAAAGGGCGCGTCTCAAATGTTCCACAATAAAACGACCAAGGCTTGGCTTCTGATCAGATCTCGGCCTTACCTTGTCCTTACCTGAAAAGTGCTTTGGAATACCTGATCACAATGTACATTTAAATGAAGATAGCTTACCAGCCATATGGAAATGGTATGACACATGCGCAGGGATATCCACCGAAAATCCCACTGAAATCACCAATGAGGCCATCACGATTGGATCGAGTTCCATTCCGAGGAGGGCATTGATGCCAAGAATTCAAACTTCTGCCAAAGGGGCGGAGCGCGTATAAAAGGTGGGACAGACGCGCCCCTCCCCTTTGCAATGTAACTCAAGATGTCTCCGTGTTTCGCTGTTCAATATAAATCGTTTTTGTACCAATCGATAGAGAAAGACTTGGCGCATCTAATGGTATCAAAAACATATAAATTGGACAAGCCAAAGCCAAGAAATTTGAGCTCAAAGTTTTGCCATTGGTAATCAAACTTTAAACTCAAATATCGTAGTGTTGGGCTGTCCAATTTCAATAGTTTTTATACCAATCGATAGAGAAAGACTTGGCGCATCTAATGATATCAAAAATATTTCAATTGAACAGCTCAACATCAAGATATTTGAGTTCAAAGTTCTGGCAATGGCGATGGGGGCGCGGCGCGTATGAAAGGGCCCACAAATTAAAAAGTGTCTGTAGATTTGAAATATCTAGACGAAAAAACTGGGAACTCTTTTGGTTTTTGAGAAAATGATTCATTTGTAAAGCACAAAATTATATGAGCTGCACGCTGTAAAACCCGTAGCAAGCTCAATAGCTGAATGGCTGAATGGCTGAATAGCTGAATGGCTCCATGGCTGAATGGCTCAACTGGACAAATAGCTAACGCACCTTGTGCTTTGCCATCCCAGCACCGGTAAAGTGGGAGTAGATCGAAGCCGGGCGCTGACATACAATATCCCATTGTTCCCTCAAGCTTGTAATGATCGTCCTGCACGGCTTTGTTCATCTCATCAACACTTGTTGTTTAGAAATGATCGCCTAAAGTCAGAGATGACCTGATTTGTGGCTTAAATAACAATGGGAGGCCAAAATTTTGGCGCAATGAAATGTGAACATTGAGGCGTTGCTTTTACGTGACTCTATAGCGTCATAATTACCCGATTTACCCGATAGAGTTGAACTACTTACCTGCAAAAGTTGATCAACTTTGACGGTCTATAACTCGAGGTATAGAAGTTGAATCAATTTATAATTGGTTTTAATAGATTGGTTATAGAAAAGTAGAATTTGTTTTGTATAGTCTTTAATAGAGAAAAACGGTCAATCGACAATCGACATAGAGAAAAGCGGTCAATCGTGAACCGTCAATCGATCAAGCAAAAGTAGTAAGCTCAATCGCTAATAGTTTTCTTTGGCATTTTTTAAAAGCTTCTTTAAAAGCTTCTTTGAAAGCGTTTTTTGAAAGCTTCTTTGAAAGCTTCTTTAAAAGCTTGAAAGCTTCTTTGAAAGCTTTGAAAGCTTGAAAGCTTCTTTGAAAGCTTCTTTGAAAGCTTGAAAGCTTCTTTAAAAGCTTGAAAGCTTCTTTGAAAGCTTGAAAGCTTCTTTGAAAGCTTGAAAGCTTCTTTGAAAGCTTCTTTGAAAGCTTGAAAGCTTCTTTGAAAGCTTGAAAGCTTCTTTAAAAGCTTGAAAGCTTCTTTGAAAGCTTTGAAAGCTTGAAAGCTTCTTTGAAAGCTTTTATTTTCTTGCTAAGTTTGCCTCTGTTTTGTTTTCATTTTTATTCACAAGCAATCACGAGAATCGATGCGCGATCATTCGATATGCCGACGCGCCGAAAAGGATTTTCCCGACGAGTGCTAGAATCGACGGATGCGCCATATTTTGGATGATCCACTGGCCGATCGATGCGGCCAAGTATTTCGAGTGGTCGGCGATCTGAAAATCGTTTAGAAATCCAGTTTTTTTAAAGGTCACTTACCTGTAGACTCTTTGGCCCAGCCACCAGCAAAAACCACAATTCCGAGTAAACGAGAGAGGACATAAAAATTGGGGAGAGGTAAAGGAGAACCTGGAAATTTTGAGTGATTAGATTTAGAGATTTAGAAGAAACTGACCCAATCAATGCTTTCCCATGAGGCGCTCACTTCGACGCTTCGACTTAAAAACGAGAAAAGCGCTGGAATGGCGAGTGCCAATGAAGAGAGAGCACAGTACTGCATCGAGAAAAAGTCCATCGATTGAGGTCGGAGCTTTTGAGCACAACTAGAAATAACAATGGAGATGAAGGATGAAAATAATGAATTCCATTTCACCATGCACCCAATTCTTGTAGAAATTCAATAGATTTTTTTGAGAACTTTTCTTTTCTAAAGATTTTAAAGCTATTCTAAAGATTCTAAAGAATCCCCTAACCACTTATGATAGAGTTATGAGCAAGAACTGAGGGAAGAGTTGCCGTAATCGAGGCAACATTGTCAACAATGCAATAGAGACAAAACTCTCAAGTTGGATTGTTCTTGACTTGAGATTTGGGCCGATTAACGCCAAAAAACGGCGAAAACTTTCTAGCTGGGCTCCAAAGAAAGCCCCTAGAGGGAGGATAAAGGTCACCGAAAAGGTGGCCATCCAATTCGTTGTAATGACGCAGTGGCAGAGCTTCTGTCTCTGGGGCAGAAAGTGTCGGGTTCGATCCCGCCTGGAGCATTTAGTCTTCAGGATTTGTTTTTTGATTTGTTTTTTTGGTAGAAAGAGATATTCAGCTGTAAATTTGTACCCAGGGGTTTTCGGGGTCGGTGAATCGATTAAAACCATTAATTTGATTAAGTCTACCAATTGGAACTTAGATCTGACGAAACTTGCCAGCTGAGCTCCAAAGAAAGCCCCTAGAGGGAGGATAAAGGTCACCGAAAGGGTGGCCATCCAATTCGTTGTAATGGCGCAGTGCCAGATACCAATTGGAGCCCGGATCTTTTAACAGCTACTGCTTTAGCTGTTAAAAGGCTTCAGTGATTTAGCGACTCTCAGCCTGTTCATTCAGGCTCTAGGGTGTTGGTTGCTTGCAACGTGTTTGGTGACTATCTGTATCGTGGTACCAAAAGCGGAAAGCATTTTCGACGTTTTCTCTCTGAGAGAATCGTAACTTGTTTTCATATCTGGTTGATCCTGCCAGTTACGATATGCTCATGTTAAAGACTAAGCCATGCATATCTTAGTTCAGCCCTTTTACGGTTCGATCCGGCCCAAGCATATAGATCGGGTTCGGGATCAATTTGAGAGAATCAAGAGACAAAACTTTCAATTCGAATTATCCATTATCATTTGGGAATAGTGACGACCGCTTTTCGCGTTTTTGACTTTTAATGGGTTTTTTTGGGGCGGAAAGGGAACTGCTATCTATTGGGCGTATGTGCCAGATGGAGAACGATTACGCGGACATACAAAGAACACAGATAGAACACGTCTAGGGATTTCCCTTTTGCTTTGTTTTTTGAGGAAAAGGAAACTGCTATCTATTGGGGACATGTGCCAGATGGAGAACGATTACGCGAACGGACAAAGAACGCACAGAGAACATGTCTAGGGATTTCTATTTTGCTTCGTTCTTTGGCCGAAAAGGGAACTGCTATCTATTGGGGGTGTGTATTGGGGGTGTGTGCCAGATGGAGTGCAATTACGCGGACGTACAAAGAACGCACAGAGAACACGTCTAGCATTTGTTTCTTTGCTTTGTTTTTTTGGTAGAAAGAGAGATTCAGCTGTAAATTTGTACCCAGGGGTTTTCGGGGACGGGGAATCGATTGAAACCATTCATTTGATTGAGTCTACCAATTGGAACTCGGATCTAATGAAACTAAAACCCAGATCCAGTCCGGCCCATCAAGGACGTCCCGCACACTCTTTGTCTATAACTAAAAGACCTATAGCTACATTAGAACAGTAGCTTTATCGAATAGCTACAGTAACTTTGAATGAATAACTTGAATAATGACGTTTGAATCACTTTTCAACACTTTCAACACTTACTTCCACAATGTGAGAATGGAGAAAGCCCGTGAGATCGGCAACAAAGGTGAACAGATTAGGGAAAACCATGTGTACTCCATCTGGCCGAACTCTAGCCATGAAAGAGAAGCTGAGAGGCCAATCCAGATCTATATATCTATATCTATATCTATATCTATGTATCTAAACTAAACAAATAATCAATGTCAGCTGTTTATAACTCTAGCACAAAGTAAACTCACCATATGATGATTTGCCGGCCTCTCGGCGCCTGACAATTGAAACTTCTGGGCAAATTTTAGGATTGTCAATGTAGTCAAGAAGTCGAAGATTCTGAAAACTAAGATTACGTTTAATCTTTTTGATTTTTTTGATTTTCCCAAATTTTTTTTTGAAGAAATTTGTTGCCCAGAGCTGGCAAAATCATCCGGACAACTTTTCGAAAAAGTTTTTACAGGCTTAACTCATTTCAAAGTATTAAGTGTTATATAGAATATTGAAGCCCTTAATCTTGGCTACATTTATCTATTAAAAGTTTCACTATTGGACATATACAACTCATTTTACAAGGCTTTGAAACATGAGTACTAGTTGATCCTTCTCCGGCACACTGTACTCATTCAAAGCCTTGTAAAATGATTTGTATAACTCTAATCGTGAAACTTTTAATAGATAAATGTAGCCAAGATTAAGGGCTTTAATATTTTTTATAACACTTAGCCCATTAGGGTTGAACTTGAGAACTAATCTATCAAAAAGGAGTCGTCGTAAATACTGAGCAGGGTTCAAATTTCACCTTCCACATAGTGCTCATTCAAAGCCTTGTAAAATAAGCTGTATACATCCGATTGAGAAACTTTTATGAGATAAATGTAGCCAAGATTTAGGGCTACAATCCTCTATATAACATTTGATACTTCGAAATAAATTACGACAACTACTTTTTAAAAAAGTTGTCCGAATAATTTTGTTGGGGTTGGTGCATTCATTTTTTTTCCAAAGGTTTTTTTAGAAACAATTCCTTCACCAACAAAATTTCTATTTAAACTATTAAAAAGCTTGTTTGTTTCTCTGCAAAATGGCTTTTGGGGAATGTTTGGAAATAGCTATTTTTGTGGTTTTTCAAAGAGGCAAAAAACGAGCACCCAAAACTACTCCAATGCCGAAGAAGTCACAATTTGGCCACTTTCTTCAATACAAACCTATTTTGATGTCAAAGTAAAAAAGATAGAGCTTCTTTGATTACATAAGTGTATAAAATCTGGAAACGATCTGTTCAGTAGTTTTCTTTAAAAAGGTAATTGAAAATGTTGCATAAAAATTTTTTGTCGAGTTTAAAAATTGAAAACTGCCGGACTTTGAACTAAAATTTATTGAACATAAAACCATCAATTGATTCCAAATAATCTCCATTATTATTGACGACTTCTGCCCATTTTACAGGCAATTTGCGGATTCCTCTTTCGTAGTAGGATTTTGGTTTGTGTGTGAGACAAGTGTGAGACTCAAAAATGGAGGAATGTCCCAGTTTGAGCACTTTCTTCAAAAGAAACCCATTTTGGTGTCAATAGAAAAGTTGTAGAGAATTAAAAATTAGGCTTATAGTCAAATTTCCAAAAATGTACACTTAGTAGTTTCGCTTAAAATGCAAGTTTAGTGAAAATTCGTAAATTTGGCATTTCTTGAAAACCAAAATGAAAAATGAAATATTGGTCAAAATACGGCTGGAAAAATGCCTGTACAGTAAGGCAGACAGAAAGACAGACAGATACCGTAACCCCCCTCCCCCTCCTTTTCCGTCATTTCATTTGTGAAAATTCGTAAATTTGGCATTTCTTGAAAACGAGTTTTTGAATCGTTCTGAAAATTTGGATATAAGCTTGATTTTTGATTCTCTACAACTTTTCCATTGACACCAAAATGGGTTTCTTTTGAAGAAAGTGCTCAAACTGTCACCTATGACAATAGCCCGCAGTTTTCAATTCACCAACCCAATGAATTAAACAATATTAATAAAAAATAATAATTTTCAAAGTAATTAAACAAATTGGGTTTAATTTCATTTTACTTTAAATAAATTTAAAGGAATTCTCTCTTGAAATCATAAAATTCTGACGACAGATGCCTTTCGGACCGTCCACCGTACACTTTGGCTTTCAGACGTTTCCGCGCCAAACGTCCGAAACTACCGTAACCCGACGCAATAAAAGGACCCCGCCACAAAGAATTTTTCAGTCTTTCGTCGTGTTTTATTTTTTCAGTCTTTTTTCCTTTTTTTTTGCATTGACACCAAAATGGGTTTCTTTTGAAGAAAGCGCTCAAACTGTCACATATAACAATAGCCCGCAGTTTTCAATTCACCAACCCAATATTTATAATGTTTTCTTTTTACCGTAACAAATAGAGTCCGCCGGTTCGATTCTGCGCGTGAACGATCGATGAGAGAAATGTTTCCAGAAATTTCGCCCCTACCGGCATCAGAAATTCTTTTGATGGGAAAGCTTGCTGCTGAATTTAACATTGAACATAGGCTATGCTGGCAATTTCACTTTAAAACTAGCATAGTTTGCATATTTTTGCATTTTTTGTTGAGCTGAACTTGCCTCTCATTTGCAAAAGTGGTGATTTCTGTTTAGAAACTTCTTTTTTCTTTAGAAACTTCTTTAGAAATGTCAATTCGAGATAAAGTTTACCTTTGGAAAGAGTCCTAAAATGTAGAATACGAAAAGGAAAAGCGTCGTTGAGAAATAGTGAAGAAAATGAATGACTGGAGTGCGCAGATCCGAGACAAAAAAGAATACATTGTGAGCACCTAAAATAATGAGTGCAAGATGGTGAAGTTGTTCATGAAGCCAGCCGGCCCGCCCCTGAGGCCACCCGCACGCCCCTGAGGCCCCCGTCCGCTCCTCAGTCCCCCCGCACGCCCCTGAGGCCCCCGTACGCCCGCCCGCCATCAATTCTGATCAATTCTGATCAAACCTGAGAGAAAGAAAGACGCCGAAACGTTGACAAGCCACCAGAGAATGAGATCACGTTTTGGAGGAAACGCTCGTCTCAACTCTTTCTCATCCGACATTCAGAAATAGGAAGATTCTTTAAAATTTGAATATAAACAATTTGACTATAAACAATTTGAATATAAACAATTTGAATTTAAAGTTCCTCAGAGGGAAAAGAATTGATGGGGTAAATGGGGTGAAAGATCAAGATCTCTTCAGAGATTGTTCTCCGAGATCTGGGTTACTCCCTCTTTTTCGCTTTCTTTTCCCGCTTTGTCGCAAGAAAATGAGGATTTTTGTGGGCCAGAAATAATGCGATTTGATTTTAAATTACAAATTTTGACTTTAAACTTTTGACTTTGAACTTTCGACTTTGAACTTTTGCTTACACAATTCATTAAGATTGGGTATGAAATATGGCTATTTGAAAGGATAAGCTTCACTACGAACACATGCAATGGTTTGCAAATGGTTTGCTAATTTCCGTTCTGGGGATAAATCCCCGGCAAAGGGAAGTCATCCAGTAGTCCAGCTGAATAATGGCAGTTCAGCTGGATAATGGCAGTTCAGCTAGATAATGGCAGTCGAGCATCCAGTAGTCCAGCTGGATAATGAGCAGTCCAGCATCCAGTAGTCCAGCTGGATAATGGCAGTCCAACATCCAGTAGTCCAGCTGGATAATAGCAGTCGAGCATCCAGTAGTCCAGCTGGATAATAGCAGTCGAGCATCCAGTAGTCCAGCTGGATAATAGCAGTCGAGCATCCAGTAGTCCAGCTGGATAATAGCAGTCGAGCATCCAGTAGTCCAGCTGGATAATAGCAGTCGAGCATCCAGTAGTCCAGCTGGATAATAGCAGTCGAGCATCCAGTAGTCCAGCTGGATAATAGCAGTCGAGCATCCAGTAGTCCAGCTGGATAATAGCAGTCGAGCATCCAGTAGTCCAGCTGGATAATAGCAGTCGAGCATCCAGTAGTCCAGCTGGATAATAGCAGTCGAGCATCCAGTAGTCCAGCTGGATAATAGCAGTCGAGCATCCAGTAGTCCAGCTGGATAATAGCAGTCGAGCATCCAGTAGTCCAGCTGGATAATAGCAGTCGAGCATCCAGTAGTCCAGCTGGATAATAGCAGTCCAGCATCCAGTAGTCCAGCTGGATAATAGCAGTCGAGCATCCAGTAGTCCAGCTGGATAATAGCAGTCCAGCATCCAGTAGTCCAGCTGGATAATAGCAGTCCAGCATCCAGTAGTCCAGCTGGATAATAGCAGTCGAGCATCCAGTAGTCCAGCTGGATAACGAGCAGTCCAGCATCCAGTAGTCCAGCTGGATAATGAGCAGTCGAGCATCCAGTAGTCCAGCTGGATAACGAGCAGTCCAGCATCCAGTAGTCCAGCTGGATAATGAGCAGTCGAGCATCCAGTAGTCCAGCTGGATAACGAGCAGTCCAGCATCCAGTAGTCCAGCTGGATAATAGCAGTCCAGCATCCAGTAGTCCAGCTGGATAACGAGCAGTCCAGCATCCAGTAGTCCAGCTGGATAATGAGCAGTCGAGCATCCAGTAGTCCAGCTGGATAACGAGCAGTCCAGCATCCAGTAGTCCAGCTGGATAATAGCAGTCCAGCATCCAGTAGTCCAGCTGGATAACGAGCAGTCCAGCATCCAGTAGTCCAGCTGGATAATGAGCAGTCGAGCATCCAGTAGTCCAGCTGGATAACGAGCAGTCCAGCATCCAGTAGTCCAGCTGGATAATAGCAGTCCAGCATCCAGTAGTCCAGCTGGATAATAGCAGTCCAGCATCCAGTAGTCCAGCTGGATAACGAGCAGTCCAGCATCCAGTAGTCCAGCTGGATAATGAGCAGTCGAGCATCCAGTAGTCCAGCTGGATAACGAGCAGTCCAGCATCCAGTAGTCCAGCTGGATAATAGCAGTCCAGCATCCAGTAGTCCAGCTGGATAATAGCAGTCCAGCATCCAGTAGTCCAGCTGGATAATAGCAGTCCAGCATCCAGTAGTCCAGCTGAATAATGAGCAGTCCAGCATCCAGTAGTCCAGCTTGCTGTTGCAGTTGCTCGAAATTTTTCAAACCAAGGTTTAAGTCTTGAAAAATCAATGAGAAAACGAGGAGAGAATTTCGGGATTTAAACCGATGATCACTTTTTTTCCGGATTACTTTGAGTTGGGTAGACGTTGCGTTGAAATTGTAAATGCAAATGTATTTTTAAATGCAAATGTCTTTGTAAATGCACCCAGTTTCAGTTTAGGCACATTCGAGTAAACTTAATTCCATTTATTCACTTGTTTTACGAAAAACTCCTTAACAAAAACGAAAATAAGATGCTAGGAATTAACTTTAAACAACTTTAAACAGCTTTAAACAACTTTAATTGCAAAAAAGAATAGATAACAGATAGAAAAGTGAAGAGATTTCAGATCACACCACGATTTGACTAGATTTCCAATTGTTTCATTTGTTTGGTTTAGTTTTGAGGAATGAGAAAAGCTTTTTGGATTTGGTCTTGGATTCTGAGATATCAAAAATATCTATTTTTCAAAGTTAGAACTACAATTTAGGATCTAATCTATTCTTTGATTTTAAAATTTTCCCTCGAATTGCTTGTGTCGCCGATGGAGACGCCGCCGACGCTCGTCCCATTCTCGGAGATACTCCTGGAAAATTCCTGTACTTTAGAACATGAATAGAAACACAGCCTTTCTGGCATACTAAGCCCATAGCTTTTTATATCAAGGCTTATATCGAAACCATAAAATAAACCAAAGGTTATTTATCCGGGTCAGTATTTCTAGCTGGCTCAAATCAAGGATGTTCAAGATTTACGACGACTCCTTTTTGATAGATTAGCTCTCAAGTTCAACCCTAAGTGTTATATAGAATATTGCAGCTCTTAATCTTGGCTACATTTATCTATTAAAAGTTTCTCGATTGGAGTTAGACAGCTCATTTTACAAGGCTTTGAATGAGTACAGTGTGCCGGAGAAAGATCAACCAGTACTGATGTTTCAAGGGCTTTTAAAATGAGTTGTATATGTCCAATCGTAAAACTTTTAATAGATAAATGTAGCCAAGATTAAGGGCTTTAATATTTTATATAGCACTTAGCACATTAGGATTGAACTTGAGAAAATCTTCCAGAAAGAAGTCGCCGTAAATGCTGAACAGGGTTGGGCAAAATTATCCGGACAACTTTTCGAAAAGATTTTCGCACGCTTAACCCTTTTTGAAGTATCAAGTGTTATATAAAATATTAAAGCCCTTAATCTTGGCTACATTTATCTATTAAAAGTTTTACGATTGGACATATACAACTCATTTTAAAAGCCCTTGAAACATCAGTACTAGTTGATCTTTCACCGGCACACTGTACTCATTCAAAGCCTTGTAAAATAAGCTGTATACATCTGATTGAGATACTTTTAATAGATAAATGTAGCCAAGATTAAGAGCTTCAATATTCTATATAACACTTAAAACATTAGAATTGAACTTGGCGCTTAGGAGCTATCAAAAGAAGTCGCTGTAAATACTGAATCCCTGTACTTAGGCCCACAAAAATACCTGTGTCAGACAGAAGCTATAAAGAATAAAATCATAAAGAAGAATAAAGAAAGATAAAGAATAAAATCATAAAAGTTGTTCATAAAGAATACAATTTTCAAATGCAGCTTTCCAGGCGGAATCCCTTCGATCTAGGGATTGCGCCTGGAAAGCAAAAAGTTCGATCGAACCTAATCACTGTAAATACTGTAATCAGAGTTATTTCAGGTACTTTTTTCAGGCTGAAAAGCCAGACTGAAAGCCAGGCTGAAAGCCAGACTGAAAGCCAGGCTGAAAGCCAGGCTGAAAGCCAGACTAAGCCAGACTGAAAGCCAGGCTGAAAGCCAGGCTGAAAGCCAGACTGAAAGCCAGACTAAGCCAGACTGAAAGCCAGGCTGAAAGCCAGGCTGAAAGCCAGGCTGAAAGCCAGACTGAAAGCCAGACTAAGCCAGACTGAAAGCCAGGCTGAAAGCCAGACTGAAAGCCAGACTAAGCCAGACTGAAAGCCAGGCTGAAAGCCAGGCTGAAAGCCAGACTGAAAGCCAGACTAAGCCAGACTGAAAGCCAGGCTGAAAGCCAGACTGAAAGCCAGACTAAGCCAGACTGAAAGCCAGGCTGAAAGCCAGGCTGAAAGCCAGACTGAAAGCCAGACTAAGCCAGACTGAAAGCCAGGCTGAAAGCCAGACTGAAAGCCAGACTGAAAGCCAGGCTAAAAGCCAGACTGAAAGCCAGACTGAAAGCCAGACTAAGCCAGACTGAAAGCCAGGCTGAAAGCCAGACTGAAAGCCAGACTAAGCCAGACTGAAAGCCAGACTGAAAGCCAGACTGAAAGCCAGACTGAAAGCCAGACTGAAAGCCAGACTAAGCCAGACTGAAAGCCAGGCTGAAAGCCAGTCAATCCAGAAATAAAGTCTTGGACTGGCATTGTTTGACTAGGCTTTTTCACCCTCGATTGTAGACTCTAGAGTCCGATTTTACTATTACCAGGTTCTACCCAGTTGGAACACTCCTTGCTATTAATGGTTGTACCCAACACTCATTGTTATCAATGACTAAACTGATTTGATCACCGCTTTGATCATGCTTTGATCCAGCATAACTAACAAGTTAAAGTTAACAAGTTAAACACAGTTAAACATTCATTTCTCGTCGAGTTCTTGAGCAAATAGTTACCGAGGCTGACCCTCTGATTTATTTAAAAAGGCCACCAGAGTACGGGATCTTTTCAAAAGGCATTTTTTTTAGAAAAACCGTGAAGAACATTGTCTAGAGCACGACTAAAAGCTGAGATAATGTTAAAATGTTGAAAAGGTGCACTTTGAGCTACCATATTTCAGGTTTAAAATCAAAATTTACCTCCAATTTCTCCTCATTGAGCTCTCTCCATTGGATGTTGACCTCAATATTCTCGAAGAGTTGCTCCAATTTGCTTCGATTATTTTCCAACTGAAACTTTTGATATTTCTAGATGTAATTCTTGTTTTTGTAAGTTTTCTATTACATTTTTCGATTCCAAGAACTCTTTGAGCTCTTCCAAGTCGTGCTTTGTACTCGTCTTGTCGACGAGACCGCGGATACAAGCGAAGAGGAGATTGCTGCCCTTGCCGAGGCTGGAAAGGTCGGATTTTTGAAAGTTTACAGCTAACTGAACAGCTAACTGAACAGTTAACAGATACGATTTAATATATTAATCTATAAAACAATATATAAAACCTACATCTCCTCATAATCGTCGTAATTGATACGGAAAAATCGCCAAGCCGCCGTCCTCGACAGTTCGTTCTTCGCCAACGCACTCAACACCCAGTGAATCGTGTTCGCCTTGATCGATTTCGAGTCGAGAGTCATTCGGAGTAAGCTATTAGGTTTTCCAGTTATGAATGCTCTTGAACAGCTAACTGAACAGCTAACTGAACAGCTTACGGAATAGCTAACTGAACAGCTAAATGAACAGCTAACTGAGCAGCTAACTGAGCAGCTAACTGAACAGCTAATTGAACAGCTAACTGAACAGCTAACTGAACAGCTAACTGAGCAGCTAACTGAACAGCTAACTGAGCAGCTAACTGAGCAGCTAACTGAACAGCTAATTGAACAGCTAACTGAACAGCTTACGGAGCAGCTAACTGAGCAGCTAACTGAGCAGCTAACTGAACAGCTAATTGAACAGCTAACTGAGCAGCTAACTGAGCAGCTAACTGAACAGCTAATTGAACAGCTAACTGAACAGCTTACGGAGCAGCTAACTGAGCAGCTAACTGAACAGCTAACTGAGCAGCTTACGGAAGTTTTGTCTCTGTATAGAAGATATTCAAATCTATATTTTTAGTTTAATGGTTCAGTTTGATAGTTAAAGTTTAGGCAGGTTAAAGTTAAAGTTTAAACAGTTTAAACAGGCTCTTTTTCCTCACCGATTCACAAGTTTTGGATCCTTTGTCGCCGCCATTCCCTCCATTAGATTTTGCTTTGCTTTTGGTGTGGTGGCTGATTGAAAAGCGGTATAGGCCTAAAAAAGAGAAGAAGAAATTTGAGTGCTCCAGAAAAGGTGTTTACATGAAAGCACAGAGTACATTCTCATAACAAACCTTTTCCCATAGAGCTGAATCTCCGTGCTTGATTCCTTCGGAGAAAATGATGCCTTGAAGTTCGGGGGTAACTCTGAATAGTTTATTGACTCGTCTTTGACCGTCTTTGACCGTCTTTGACCAAAATGTGGCAACTTTCTCAATGATCTTGTCTCTATTTTTTATCTAATCTATCTACTTTTATTATTTTTCAATATCCTTTTGTGAATCCTCACAAAATCAGACAAAAATAGATAGTTTGGCATGTCTATTTGGTAGTTGAGAAAGTTGAGAAGTTGAGTTGAGGTAGTTGAGAAAGTTGGCTCATTTTAGAAAGCTAGTTTTTAAAACTAACGGTTTCTTCGATACAGCCCATTGATTGAATCGTTGAATTGCTTTCTTCGAGCAATCGCCGTGATTTAAACGGCAAGCAAATGAGAGAACTGTTTGCTGGAGACCACGACGAGATGGGCTTTCCTAAAATATTTGGCTTGGGCTTGGCTTGGCTTAGCTTTGACTTTGGCTTTGGCTTGGCTATTGCTTGGCTTGGCTATTGCTTGGCTTGGCTATTGCTTGGCTTGGCTATTGCTTGGCTTGGCTATTGCTTGGCTTGGCTATTGCTTGGCTTGGCTATTGCTTGGCTTGGCTATTGCTTGGCTTGGCTATTGCTTGGCTTGGCTATTGCTTGGCTTGGCTATTGCTTGGCTTGGCTATTGCTTGGCTTGGCTATTGCTTGGCTTGGCTATTGCTTGGCTTGGCTATTGCTTGGCTTGGCTATTGCTTGGCTTGGCTATTGCTTGGCTTGGCTATTGCTTGGCTTGGCTATTGCTTGGCTTGGCTATTGCTTGGCTTGGCTATTGCTTGGCTTGGCTTTGGCATCTTTCTCTGGTCGGATTGGGTTCCGTTTAGGCATTTGGGTACACCTTAAAAACTTCGGCATAGTGACGGCGAGACCGGAGAAGTTGACTCAGCACCTTTTAGGATTCCAAAAGCCTATCTATCTTGGACGTATGCCAGATGGAGAGCGATTACGCGGCCACACAAAGAACAGCAGGAATTTACAGGAATTTTCTTTTGTTCGGTAAATGATTCCGAAATGAGATTTAAGGTTGAAGATTTGTACTCCGGGGTTTTCAGGGTCGTAGAATCTATTGGTGGGGTTTATTTTAGCCCTTTGTCCCAAGAAAACCCTCAAGAGAATCGAATTGGTTTGGGATTTGTATATGAAAGCTTTTCAAAATGAAAAGACCCGGATTTCGAGAAGAATCAGCTATTCTATCTTATCATTTTGATGTACTAGTATTATAAAGTACAGCACTATTTCTCAAAGTGTAAACACATTTGATCTGGTGCAGATCTGGCGCAGATCTGGTGCAGATCGAACACAAAGTACGCCCTTTTCTTTAGTAGCTTATGTAGCTCAAAATAAAGCTTATCTACCTCCTTCTCGTCACTTTCCCCATCATCCCAGCCAAGTTCCTCATAAACTTTCACCACCAACGATCGTTGGAAATCCTAAAAGAACATTAAAAATTCGATATTTAAATAATTTAAACAAACCCTAAATAAATGAATATAATCCGTTTCTTCAATCAATCCCTCAATCGATTCCATTTGTTGGCTGATCATCGTCCAAGCCATTCGATCACGCTCATCTAAGAAATGACATTGAAAGCTGATTGAAAGCTGATTGAAAGCTGATTGAAAGCTCATTGAAAGCTGATTGAAAGCTGATTGAAAGCTGATTGAAAGCTCATTGAAAGCTGATTGAAAGCTGATTGAAAGCTGATTGAAAGCTGATTGAAAGCTCATTGAAAGCTGATTGAAAGCCCATTCAAAGCCCATTCAAAGCTCATTCAAAGCTCATTCAAAGCTCATTCAAAGCCCATTCAAAGCTCATTCAAACCTCATTGAAAGCTCACTGAAAGCTCATTCAAACCTCATTCAAAGCTCATTCAGCTCTCATTCAGCTCTCATTCAAACCTCATTCAAAGCTACGACAAAACTCCATTTACAGGGTGCGTCATAATTATTGCAACAAGATACTCAAGGCATTGCACACCAAGAAGTTTGACTGGAAGAAGATTGTTAAACAGAAATAGCTTTATTTAACAGTAACAAATAAGGAAACAAGAGATCATTCGATATGACCGCCTTTTGCCTTGATAACAGCCCTTAATCGGTTCGGATATGTCTCCACTGCGACCCGAATGTCATCTTGAGCCCGAATCTTGAGGAGTCGCCTTCCATCCTTTGGTCAAAGACTTCTTCAAGGTCAAAGACTTCTTCAAACAATCCAAACTTGTGTGTTTTCGAGAGCAGACATTAGCCTCTAAGATTGCCCAAATGGAAAAGTCCATCACATTGAGATCCGGTGAGTTTGGAGACCATTCATCCTTGGTTGGATGAATGGCCACACACTGAGGGAAAGTTGGTCACACACCAGTCCTGAACCGTCTTCTTCGTGTGAGCGGGAGCTCCATCTTGCATGAAGATTCAATTTTGATTGTTATTGGCTTTACACGCCCATGACATCACATTCTTGACATCACAAACGGTCTTTGAACTCTTGTTGCAATAATTATGACGCACCCTGTAATTCCACTCACCCTCAGCATACTGTACCATATCCATATACGTGCCAATATCTAAAAGCCCGACTTTTGTGAAATCAAACGCGTCCGTGATTAGCATCGTTCGATCGATTGCTGAGATTTCCTGGAAAAGAAAAGCTTGGGTACTTTTTTTTTTTAGCTTTGCTTCCAAAAACTCACCGAATGATCCCTATTCAGTTGTCGATTCAACTCTCGATAGATTTTCTTATCGTAGAGCACTTTGAAGTAACCGATTCCCCCGGAGTTCGCGATCACCCATTTTGAGGGAGAGTCAAGGCGCCAGTGTACTAAATATTAAGTTCGTCGATCGTCGATCGTCGAAATGAAATGAAACCCCTTCTTTCTTTCTTTCTTTCTTTCTTTCTTTCTTTCTTCTTCCCCCCTGTCTTTCCCTTCTTTTCTTGACAAGTTAAGGTACCGAATAGCTCAGTTGCTAGCCCGCTCAATTGCCCGGAAAGCGAAAGGTCGAGGGTTTAATCCCTTCTCCGGAAATCTACAATTCCTTCACTTCTTCATTAACAAACTTAGCAACACCAAATTCAAGAATTTCCTCTGCTCCTGCTAACGGAAGCAGCTCCTGCTAACGTACCACCGATTAGTTACCATATCGTGTACAGTATCTAGTGTGTACTATTTTAGAAATCTTGTAAACCGCCTCACCCTTTTGCTCTCCCGGTCGCAACCATTTCAGCTGTGGTTCTCCTTTGTCATCAGTTCTGAAATGCACGGGGATCGGCCATTCCAAATCCTCGTCATCCTCATCTTCATTACTTCCCCTTCCTTTTTTCTGCATTTTCTTCTTTTCCTTTTTCTCTTTTTCATCATCACTGTCATCATCGTCCTTTCCATTTTCATCCTCTTCATCTTCTTCGCTTTCATCTTTATCTCCAGCTTTATCTCCAGCTTTAGCTTTAGCTTTATCCTTATCTCCATCTCTATCTCCATCTCCATCTCCATCTCCATCTTTATCTCCATCTTTATCGTTCTTTTTGTGATCTCGATCAAAGAGGAATCGTGTCTAAATTAGAAATTTGTATAAATATCAGTTTTTCCTACGATATGATAATGATTACGAGCTTTTAAAGTGTAGTTTTTCAACTCAAACCTGATTGTGCACCAAAATCTCCTCATCATTATTGACCAAACCGATTTGAATCAATGGATAGCCAACCTAAAAGATTTTTTGGATTTGATTTCAGATTTTAGATTTTAGATTTTTGTTTATAGATTTTAGATTCTATTGGGTTGGGGAGAATAAGTCGGCGCCGAAAATGAAAAAAATGTCTAAAACTTCTATTCGACTTCGTCAAATAATATGCGTTTGATATGAGTAGAATGGTTAACTAATCCTCTACAAAATCACATTTAAAAGAAAATTCAAACAGCGCCTCCACTCAAGAAAAAGCCATTTTTTCACAAAAACTACAAACTGTGATCTAGAAAAAACCATTGGTGGGATCTTCCTGCAAATTTGGCAACTTAAGTAATTGAATGTGCTCTATCTTTTTTATATAAACACCAAAGAAGGTTTATGTGAAAGAAACTGTTCAAATGATGAGTCGGACTCTTTGCCATTTTAACCAGCTGCGTTTGGAAGTTCATAAACTCCACGAAAGAAAAGCTTTGTGGAATCTCTCAAAAGTCATTTTGTAGAGAAATAGTGGATCCTTTTGATGAAACCAAACGTATGTTTAAAGAAGGCTTTATGTGTGCAAAAAGTCCCTTTAAATTTTGGCGCCGACTCATTCTCCCCAACCCAATAGATCTAGATTTTAGATTTTAGATTCTAGATTCTAGATTCTAGATTCTAGATTCTAGATTCTAGATTCTAGATTCTAGATTTTAGATTTCAGATTCTAGTCCAGATATTGCTCCATCTGACTACCATTTATTTCGAAGTATGCGGCATTCACTCGAAAGCCAGAAGTTCCAGAACCTTGACCACATCAAAAAATGGGTCTCTGCTTTCTTCCAATCAAAACCAGCACAACTCTTTCAAGAGAGTATCCATAATTTGCGTCAAAGATAGAAAAATGTTATTGATAGCTGTGGGGAATATATTGTTGATTAATTGTTTCTAGTTTATTTTTACGAATAAATTTTGTTGTTGCTCAAAAACGAAATTTCGATGTCGCCAACCTAATAGATTTTAGATTTTAGCTTTTAGATTTTAGATTCTAGATTCTAGATTCTAGATTCTAGAATTTAGATTCTAGAATTTAGATTCTAGAATTTAGATTCTAGATTCTAGATTCTAGATTCTAGATTCTAGATTCTAGATTCTAGATTCTAGATTCTAGATTCTAGATTCTAGATTTTAGCTCTTAGATTCTAGATTTTAAATCAATAATGAGCAATGAATCGTTTTAAATCAAACAATATAATAAACAATTTTGCTAATAATGTGTCGAGAAATAACGCTAAAACCTGTGTGGTGAATGCTTTAGCGAGAGACTCGACGGTGACTCCATGTGGCAATGAAGCGTGCTAAAAGGAAATATTTTGAGAATTTTCTCAATTTCTGTAAAATCATGGTCCAATGGCAGATTAAACAGAACCAAATTTGTACCATAATGGAACGAAATCATTAGGAAACCATTATGAAACAAAATCTGTGTCATAATGGAACCAGCTCTTATTAGTGGAACAAAATCTGTGTCATAATGGAACCAGCTCTTATTAATGGAACGAAATCTGTACCATAATGGAGCCAGCTCTTATTAATGGAACGAAATCTGTACCATTATGGAACCAGCTCTTATTAGTGGAACGAAATCTGTACCATTATGGAGCCAAATACTTTGAATAAATAAGCAATCAATCAAGCTACAGAAAGAAATTAATCAAGCTTTGAATTGATTTTGCTTTTCTGTTACGATGCATCGTCCGAAGCAGCTTCCCTTATTACGATATGGTACGATTAATAGCTTCCCTTATTGCGATAGGTACGATTCGCAGTAGCTGTACGTAAGCGAGACGATCTGCGAGAAAGAAAAATGTACAGATTGACACTACGTTGAATGTTGAAACTACTTGGGTATTAGTAAACCGTACTCCAGCGAAATAAGAAAAACCAGGAAGAAGAAAGAGACTGCTCAAGGAAGTAGAAAGAGATTGCTCAAGGAAGAAGAAAGAGATTTCTCCCTGTGTCAGTGGCTACATTATACAACAAAATACGTTACCTTTTCCACAATTCTCCACAATTCCTCTCCTTTCGCATTGTCGTATTTGTACTTGTTGAGGTACTCGATCAAAGCCTAAATAACATATCTACAGTACCCACAGTATCTCATATTATATAGCAAGTCTACGAGGAGCTCCGGTTCACTCACCTTCTGGAAGTACCATTCCCCAGCCAATCCCTGCAGCATGTGAATGATCGCGGCCGCCTGAATACTCATTTTAGGCTTTGATACCTTATTCTAAACCTTGTGATAAGAGATTGCGTCGAAAAGAGACATGATATTCGTCGTGTTACTCTCTAAACCGGCGTTGATCGGTCGAGATGAGCTCAAGCCATCCGGCTCCATCGCTGATCCGGCGTTCTCCGCGTAGAAACGGGACATCTAAATTTGGCATATTGCAATACTGGACTTTTTTGGGTTACCGTAACATTGTATAGCAGAAATGGTTAAAATGGAAATTTTCTAAGCTTAGCATTGATTCTGGTCCAGTTCCGCATGCTTTCCTGATCCTGACAAGCTTTCCTGATCTGGATCAGGAAAGCTTGTCGTTGGCGGGACTCGAACCCACCGCGAAAAGCGGTATCGGTTCTGTAGTCCGGCACACTACCCTCTAGGCCACCGTTGCTCTTTTTTGGGCTCTCTTATTGGCTTATGGCGCGCTTTTATTGGCTATTTGGCTCTTATTGGCTCGGAAATGCTCGCTGCACCAGAAGGAATGCGTTCACGCTTGAGCACAAAGTACACACGGGCAAGTCTAGACACTACTCTTTGTTCTTTATGATGTACTTTGTGCTTAAGCGTAAACACGAGCTTTCTAGTGCACGGGATTCTTCTGTTGTTTGGTGACAAAAATTCTCTTATTCAGAAAAATAAGAAACCAATGTGCCAGAAGGGATGCGTTCACGCTTGAGCACAAAGTACACCACAAATCTTGTCGGACTTGTCTTTGCGTGTACTTTGTGCTCAAGGGTAAACACTAGCTCTCTCGTGCACGGGGTTTCCCGGGATCTTCGTTTTCTTGTAACAATCACTTTTGCTTAAAGAATTCTGTGCGCCAGAAAGGATGCGTTTACACTTGAGCACAAAGTACACCACAAATCCTGTCTAGTTCAGACTTGTTTTGTGAAAGAAGACAAAAGCTCTCGTAGTCTAATAAGACACCAGAAATACCGTACCCTAAACAATGGCGCCCTCAAATGCGTATAAAAGGACGCCTCCTTCCCCATCTAATCAGAGTTTTCTCCTATTTTGATTTGTTCTTTGCGCGTACTTTGTGCTCAAGCGTAAACACTAGCTTTCTCGTGCACGGGGTTTCCCGGGATCTTTGTTTTCTTGTAACAATGACTTTTGCTTAATTCTGTGCGCCAGAAAGGATGCGTTTACGCTTGAGCACAAAGTACACCACAAATCTTGCCAGACTTGTCTTTGCGTGTACTTTGTGCTCAAGCGTAAACACTAGCTTTCTCGTGCACGGGGTTTCCCGGGATCTTTGTTTTCTTGTAACGATGACTTTTGGTTAAAGAATTCTGTGCGCCAGAAAGGATGTGTTTACGCTTGAGAACAAAGTACGCGCAAAGAACAAATCAAATTTGAATCAACACCAAAGCAAAAAAAGTTGAAAACGATAAAAATGACTTTTCGAAGGGATAAAAATCTTCAAAATCATTTCAGAAGCTCTAAAAAAGTAAAGATCTATAAATCTATCAAATAATTCGATTCTAGACAAGAAAAATGAAGACCTGAGTGCCCCAGAAAGGCTGTGTTCACAAATGAACACCCCCCCACTCACAATTTTCCATTTCGGGAAGATATGATCCACGCATTTGTACTCCATATAATTGGCGAAACCCTCATTCAGCCACAAGTCATTCCACCAATCCATTGTCACCAAATTCCCGAACCACTAAAAGTTTAGCATAAAGAAATGATCGACAAAGAATTTGGCAGCCAGCGGAATTGAACCCTCGACCTTCACCTCGACCTTCACCTCGACCTTCTGCTTACCAGGCAGATGCTTTACCACTGAGCTATCGGCGCCTTCTCTGTTCGGGGAGAAATACTTCACTCCCTTTGGAGTAAGGGAGATCGGCTGCGTTGTAGTGTGGTGGTTAGCACAGTTGCCTGGTAAGCGAAAAGTCGCGGGTTCAAGTCCGAGCGGCGCACAAGATCTGCTTTGATCTTTTTGATTTTTGATATGCTGAATTAAACAGGAAGAAAGCAAGAAAAAGAGGGAAATACCCGGATCGAAGATAAAGAAAGCTTTGTGTTGATCAGCAAAATCAGCAAAAGCAAAATATTTGCAGCAGAATCGCATGCAGAAGAATGAACAGATAACAATCCAGATCCAGATCCAGATCCAGATCCAGATCCAGATCCAGATCTAGATCCAGATCCAGATCCAGATCCAGATCCAGAACCTAGATCCAGATCTAGATTCCGTTCCAGATCCAGTTCCAGATCCAGATCTAGATCCAGTTCCAGATCCAGATCTAGATCCAGATCCAGATCCAGCTCCAGATCCAGATCCAGATTCAGATCCAGATCCAGATCTAGATCCAGATCCAGATCCAGATCCAGATCCAGAACCTAGATCCAGATCTAGATCCAGATCCAGATCCAAATCCAGATCCAGATCCAGTTCTAGATCCAGATTCAGTTCCAGTTCCAGATCCAGATCCAGCTCCAGATCCAGATCCAGATCCAGCTCCAGATCCAGATCCAAATCCGGAGCCAGATCCAGATCCAGATCCAGAGCCAGATCCAGAGCCAAATCCAGATCCAGATCCAGATCCAGAGCCAGCTCCAGATCCAGATCCAGATCCAGATCCAGAGCCAGCTCCAGATCCAGATCCAGATCCAGATCCAGAGCCAGCTCCAGATCCAGATCCAGATTCAGATCCAGATCCAGATCCAGTTCTAGATGATACGAAGTTAGATAAAAGATAGCTAAACCAAACCTGATGTGCAATCTCGTGACAAATGACAAGTGCAATGTGTTCTTTGCTCAACTCGCCACTCGTTTTCTCGTTGTACAACAAGCTTGAGTCTCTGAAAAGTCTCTGAAAGTCTCTAAGCTTTTTCAAATTTCTCTTTTTTTCATCTATTTAAAGCTTTATCATAAAAGTTGAAGAAAATAGAAACGGTTAGGATACCAGAAACCATTCGTTTACACAACCACAATAAACACGTTGCTATATTTGGTACCTAAACGTGATGAGACCCCAATTCTCCATGGCTCCTTCGGCGAAATCATCAAGTGCTAGGAGATCTAAACTTTGTTTATAATAAAGTTCTCGATTTTCTCACTCACCAACTTTATCTAGTGGATAAGAGATATTGAAATAGTCTTCGAAATACTCTAAAGCTTTTGTAGCTACATCAAGACCGAAATCGGCTTGGCCTTTGAGAACATCACGGGAAGCGTAGAGACGGACCTGGAAATCAGGCTTTTGTCGTGCTTTTGTTGGCTCAAGTACTCCATGTGCTAGCCGGGATATTGGTTTAATCAAGCCTGAGAAAATCTCTACACGATTTGGTTTGTCTAGTCAACTCAGGACAATCGATTGAAGCAATTCATTTCATTGAGTCTACCAATAAGGACTTGGATCTAATGGGACTCTATCTAATGGGACTCTATCTAATGGGACTCTATCCAATAGAACTCTATCTAATAGAACTCTATCTAATAGAACTCTATCCAATAGAACTAATTGTAAAATCCGGATTCGGCCTGTCCAAGACTCTTAGTCTATAACATTAGAACAGTAGCTTCAGTATTAGAACAGTATTGAATAGCCACAGTAACCAGTTTTTGAACTCTTAAATTATAGTAAGTAAAGCTTTTTGTCAAATGGAGTAAAACTGTAAGAATTCTTTGTGCTTACCTCAATCGGTTCAGCCGTGGTCTTCGTAAGTCGCTTGTTGTAATCGTAATTATCGAGCACTGCCACAGCCAAAAGATACGTCGACATTTTCACGCTTTTCTCGAATACATCAATGTAGAGTCTGGAATTAAACACTCTAGCAAATATTCATAGCTGAAAAACAACCCAATGAGAACCAAATTTGGACTTAATAGGAACCGAAAGAGAGCCGAATTGGAATCGAATAGGGATCGAATAGGAATCGAATAGGAATCGAATAGGAACTTGATTGGAACTATTAGAACCGATTGGGAGCCGAATGCAAATGCAATTGGAACCGAATAGGAATCGAATAGGAATCGAATAGGAATCGAATAGGAATCGAATAGGAATCGAATAGGAACTTAATTGGAACCGTATTGGAACCGAGTGGGAGCCAAATGATAACCGAAGAGGAACCGAATAGGAACCGAATGGAAACCGAATAGGAATCGAATTGGAACCGAATGGAAACCGAATGGAAACCGAAGAGGAACCGAATTGGAACCGAATTGGAACCGAATTGGAACCAAATAGAAACCGAATGGAAGCCAAATGGAAACCGAATAGGAACCGAATGGAAACCGAAGAGGAACCGAATTGGAACCGAATGGAAACCAAATAGGAATCGAATAGGAATCGAATAGGGATCAAATTGGAACCGAATCGGAGCCGAATGATAACCGAAGAGGAACCGAATAGGAACCGAATTGGAACCGAATTGGAACCGAATTGGAACCGAATTGGAACCAAATGGAAACCGAATAGAAGTCAAATGGAAACCGAATAGGAGCCGAATGATAGCCGATGAGGAACCGAATAGGAACCGAATGAAAACCGAAGAGGAACCGAATTGGAACCAAATGGAAACCGAATTGGTATCGAATGGGAACCAAATGGAAACAGAAAGGGAACCGAATAGGAACCAAATAGGAACCGAATGGAAACCAAAGGGGAACCTTTCAAAGTCACCAAATCTTTCAAAGTCTCACCCTTCTTCCGAGTGTTCTCGAGTGACCCGGAGATTTGTGTTACTCCTTGTCACGTGTTCAGGCTCACGCACAACCGATACCTAGATATTTTTGTTATGATTTCGATATAAATTCTATTTGTCTAAACTTCTATTTGTCTAAACTTTTGTAGATTTTCCCGAACCTGGAATGTCGCTTTCAGATTGGGCTCGTCGAAGCACGGGAAAGCCTTGCGCGCATGATTCGGCTCAAACTGAGAAGCCACGGATTTCCTGAGAAATGTTTGTTCTTTGTTTTCCTTTGTTCAATTTTTGTATCTAGATCTATCCAATGCATGGAAATAGTACTTTAATATTATAAAAAGCAGCTATGCCTGCAGCCCTTACAGTTATCCCTTCAAAATCTAACCAAATCTTTCCATTATTTGAGTGATGCGTGCTGATGTAGAGACCGTGCATATCAGCCAACATCAATCCGTCATATTCGATGCCCAGAACGATCTAAAGAAAAATAAATAGGTATTGTTGAAGCTCGATATGCTTTTGAACGTTTTCTACTAATCACTCTGCTACTACAGTGCGCGTCAAAATGATAGGTCCACCCGATTTCTCAAAAACTATCAAGCAAAATCAAAATCCATATTTGTAGATGAATTTTAATTTGATTCTTGATAAATATTCAAAAGTTTAAAAAAGTTTTTTATCGGTAAAATTTTTGGGTATTTTGGAAAAACTCAAAAATTGAGGTAAAAACCGCGTCAAAATGATAGGTCCACCACTTTATGCGCTTAATGCCTTGCCACTTTCTTGCTGATTTTTTCTTTTTTTGTATGCAAATTTTATTTTTCTACAGATTCTAAGTTTTTCCTTTAGAATGGACCGAGGAAATGCGTTGACGCTGGTGGAGCAGGGAAAAGTTGACGTTCTACACGCAAATGGACTCAGCAATCGCAAAATTGCCGAACAACTTGGTCGCTCGCACAACGTCATCAATCAATACCTTCAAAATCCACTGAATTATGGAACTAAGAAGACGACTGGACGGAAGACGACTGGACGGAAGACGACTGGACGGAAGCCGACTGGACGGAAGACGACTGGACGGAAGACGACTGGACGGAAGACGACTGGACGGAAGACGACTGGACGGAAGACGACTGGACGGAAGACGACTGGACGGAAGCCGACTGGACGGAAGACGACTGGACGGAAGACGACTGGACGGAAGACGACTGGACGGAAGACGACTGGACGGAAGCCGATTCTGACACCTCGAGACAAACGCCATATCGGCCAAATTGTGTTGAACTCAATGATGTCAGCCAACGAAATACGAAACGAAATTGGTCTATCGGCATCGAGAAGCACAGTTTTGAGGACCATTACTGCAATTCCTCACATCGAGCGATGCAAAATGATACCGTCTCCTCGTCTAACCGGTGACCACAAAGTTGCTCGAGCTGAATTTGCACGCAAGAATTTAAAGGTAGATTGAAATAAGGTGAACATTGAGTAATAGTCAGTAACAATAAAGTTTTTTTTTGGTTTAGATTATCTTCAGCGACGAAAAAAAGTTCAATCTTGATGGTCCCGATGGTAGCAAGTATTATTGGCACGATCTTCGCAAAGAACCACAAAGAACAAAAGAACCAATACTTTGGGCGTCGGAATTTCGGAGGAGACCGCTTAATGGTCTGGGGAGCATTTACGGCCGGTGGTGTACTCGAATTGAAGTTTGTCTCTTGTCGAATGAACTCGAAGGATTATCAGGATGTGTTATCGGATTGTTTGTTACCGTTTTTGCTTAACAATCAAGGACAATGCTATCGATTCCAGCAGGACAACGCGTCGATTCGCGTCAGCAGATCAACAAAAGACTACTTTACGCAGAATAACATCGATGTCTTGAACTGGTCCGCATGTTCGCCCGACTTGAACCCGATGGAAAACTTATGGGCAATACTTGTACGCAAAGTTTATGCAAATGGACGAACATACAAGTCAGTTTCCGAGCTCACAACACAATTAATTCTTTCATGGCGGTCGATCATGCCCACGACTCTTCAAAAACTAGCTGACTCGATGGATAATCGTATTCTGGACGTGGTCACACTTAAAGGAGGACCTACAAAGTATTGACCATAGTGATAAAGTAATGATAAAACCTATTTTCATTCAGTTTTTACAATTTTTTTGGTTCTTGTTATAAAGTTTTTAATGAGTGGACCTATCATTTTGACGCGGTTTTTACCTCAATTTTTGAGTTTTTCCAAAATACTCAAAAATTTTACCGATAAAAAACTTTTTTAAACTTTTAAATATTTATCAAGAATCAAATTAAAATTCATGTGCAAATACGGATTTTGATTTTGCTTGATAGTTTTTGAGAAATCGGGTGGACCTATCATTTTGACGCGCACTGTATTCTGTGATGACGAGTCACCAAAAGCTCTCGTAGTCTAATAAGACATCAGAAATACCGTACCCTAAACAATGGCGCGCTCAAATGCGTATAAAAGGACGCCTTCTTCCCCATCTAATCAGTTTTCTCTCATTTTGGTTCTTGTGAACATTTCTTGATTCTTGGGAAAATTGCTTTCTTTTGTTCGAGATACTTCCACAATTTTCATCAAAGTCATTCCTTTTTGGCTTTAGACTTAGGCTCAGGCTTGGGCTTAGGCTTAGGCTCAGACTTGGGCTTGGACTTAGTGCGAAGGCTAGCGGCTAGCGGCCAGCCCCTCGCACTAAGTCTATTTGGGTTTGGACTGAACCCCCATTTTCTGGATCTCAGCCGTTTCCCGGAGTTAGGCTTAGGCTTAAGATTAGGCTTTGCAAGTCAAGTTCAAATAAAGTGCAGCTGACTTATAAGCCTAAGCCTGAGCCTAAACCTGAGCCTAAACCTGAGCCTAAGCCTAAGCCTGAGCCTGAGCCTGAGCCTTCACACGCTTTGCCCCATGTGTATTGAATAAACTTGGTTTTGGTGATTCATTCAAGCAAAAGCAAAGATCTAGCCACGTGAATTCAAGGGAAAGCACACTAGTATTTCGTAAGACTGAGCAAATTCGTTTTGATAGACCCTCTCGAGTTGTTTTAGGCTTTTCAGTCCACAACTTAGACGTTAGGTGTTCAAGCTTTGTATGACTTTTGGCATTGAGCTGATCTGGTCTCGCCTGGCTTGACTTTTCCTGGCCTAGTCTGGCTTTGGTTGGCTTTGACTGGCTTTAGCTTGGCTTTAGCTGGCTTTGGCTGGCTTTGGCTGGCTTTGGCTAGCTTTGGCCTGGCTTTAGCTGGCTTTGGTTGGCTTTGACTGGCTTTAGCTTGGCTTTAGCTGGCTTTGGCTGGCTTTGGCTGGCTTTGGCTATGCTTTGGCTTTAGCTGGCTTTGGTTGGCTTTGACTGGCTTTAGCTTGGCTTTAGCTGGCTTTGGCTGGCTTTGGCTGGCTTTGGCTAGCTTTGGCTTGGCTTTAGCTGGCTTTGGTTGGCTTTGACTGGCTTTAGCTTGGCTTTAGCTGGCTTTGGCTGGCTTTGGCTGGCTTTGGCTAGCTTTGGCTTGGCTTTAGCTGGCTTTGGTTGGCTTTGACTGGCTTTAGCTTGGCTTTAGCTGGCTTTGGCTGGCTTTGGCTTGGCTTTAGCTGGCTTTGACTTTTAGCTTTTTGGAAAAACTCTGCTCACCTCATCATTCTCTTCAACCGGCTTGTCAAGCGTGAATGCCCATTGCTGTAGAACATCGCACTCAGACTAAAATTGTTGAATACAAATATAGGTACTTTTCGATTGAGGAGACAAATTTACACATTTGCATATCATATTTTGTACAAAATTTGCATGTGAAACCATGTTGAGAACTTGGTGAGATCTCTGACACAATTTCTCTTGAATATGACCACTGACACAATGTCTAGCAGGTTTTAAACCAAAAAAAAAAACACATAAGACACATCTTGTATCCTTTCTAACAGCTCATTTTGGAAAATGTGAGCAAAATGGAGGAGAAAGAGGAAGAGGAAGAGGAGAAACGCAAGTAAAAACATCAAATACCAAATTTTCATTTAAAATTTCAAACCATATCGGGGCTAGATATGTTCTAAAACCTTTTCAGCTACAGCATAAAGTATTAAATCCATTAAGAAGTTAAGAAGTAAGCTAAGAAGTAAGCTAAGAAGTAAGCTAAGAAGTAAAGAAGTAAGCTAAGAAGTAAAGAAGTAAGCTAAGAAGTAAGCTAAGTAGTAAGCTAAGAAGTAAGCTAAGAAGTAAGCTAAGTAGTAGGCTAAGAAGTAAGCTAAGTAGTAAGCTAAGAAGTAAGCTAAGAAGTAAGCTAAGTAGTAGGCTAAGAAGTAAGCTAAGTAGTAAGCTAAGAAGTAAGCTAAGAAGTAAGCTAAGAAGTCAAGAAGTAAGCTAAGAAGTAAGGAAGTAAGCTAAGAAGTAAGCTAAGTAGTAAGCTAAGTAGTAAGCTAAGTAGTAGGCTAAGTAGTAAGCCAAGAAGTAAGCTAAGTAGTAGGCTAAGAAGTAAGCTAAGAAGTAAGCTAACAAGTAAAGAAGTAAACTAAGAAGCAGTAATCAAGCTTTCTTCACCACTTACATGTTCCGCATTCACTTTTCGATTGTTTACATTAATGTAAAAAGAGGAGAGATTGAGGCGATGTGCGTGCAAAACAATGACCGACGTCTCGTTCTCAACCTAAACCAAATCTGAATTTTATATATGTCGTAACCGTTTACGAAATTCAGCCGCTAACGAATGAGGGTATTTCCGGGCATCCAATCAAAAAGTCACCCACATAAAAAATGTTCATAATACATATATTTTATAATAAATTTTTGAAATTAGCTCATTTAGTTCAGTAGAAAATTTTTTTTTGAGCCCCCAAAGTTTAGGTTCAAAAATGGCTATAAAATATTTTCTACTCAGCCAAAAAACTTGCCTAATAGCTCATTTCGTAGCCAATTTGATGTAGTTTCTTAAAGTAAAGCCATCTAAAACAATTTTTCGTTGAAAGTAGGAGAAAGAGGGCGAGGAACAAATTCAGGGCAATGAAAACAGCGACCGAGTTCAACTGAAGTCGTTTCCTTGCCCTCTTTCTCCTAGCTTTGAAAAACAAATGTTCAATGTAGCTTTACTTTAAGAAACTACAAGATTACGCTAGCTGTTATTCAACATCGGATTCCTCATGCCCAAAATACTTTTTTCTATCACTATGCCGATCGAATCCTTCACTTTAAATTTGGACAATTCCCTTGTGAACGAAAAAGTGGTATTATATTGTGTTGATCATATCATATATAGTCATACTATATAGTCAGACTTGGCATTTCACTCATTTCCGATTTTCTAAAAACTTAAGTCATAACTTTTTCTGAATTTTTTTTTGCGCCGATCTGATGCTTAAGAATAGTCCAAATTTAAGGTGAAGGATTGGATCGTGATAGAAAAAAGTATTTTGGGTATGAAGAATCCGATGTTGAATTTAGTTTTGTTGCCTAAACCCCTTGATTTTCAAGAAAAATCCCTTGCGAATTTGGGCACCTATGCTACTGGCCGAACGGAGGTTTATAACGGTTCTTTCCCTGAGCTTGTGCTTGTGCCTGTGCTTGTGCTTGTGCTTGTGCTTGTGCCTGTGCTTGTGCTTGTGCTTATGCTTGTGCTTGGGCTTGTGCTTGGGCTTGTGCTTGGGCTTGTGCTGGGGCTTGTGATTGTGTTGGTGCTTGTGCTGGTGCTTGTGCTTGTGCTTGTGCCTGTGCTTGTGCTTGTGCTTATGCTTGTGCTTGGGCTTGTGCTTGTGCCTGTGCTTGTGCTGGTGCTTGTGCTGGTGCTGGTGCTTGTGCTGGTGCTTGTGCTTGTGCTTGTGCTGGTGCTTGTGCTTGTACTTTTTAGAAAATCGAAAATGAGAAACGTGTGCCCAATGTTTAGAGGATATTACTTAGAGAATTTTCAAACGCAAACCCTCAAATCGATGGCCACTTGTCCACTTAAACGGCCCGCATCAATGTCGGGATGGATTGAAATGTTGTAGTGATCGGGTCGGATATCATTCGGTAATCGAAGCTCATCCCTGAATGTAGGCTTAATCTTGATTCTCAGAAATTGAGGCTTTTCTTCTTTTCTCTGAACACCTCCTTTTCTCTTGACTCACCAAGGAAAATCTGGACAATGTTGCTCTATCAACTCCTCGAAATCATCACTCAACATTTCATCTCCATTTCCGCTTGATGTTGTCCAATTTAGCTAAAGCTTTTCTTTTCAACTGTACTGTACTGCACTGTACTGTACTGTACTGTAACATGTGCTGTACTGTACTGTACTGTACTGCATTGTACTGTACTGTACTGTACTGCATTGTACTGTACTGTACTGTACTGCATTGTACTGTACTGTACTGTACTGCATTATACTGTACTGTACTGCATTATACTGTACTGTACTGCATTATACTGTACTGCACTGTACTGTACTGTACTGTAACATGTGCTGTACTGTACTGTACTGTACTGCATTGTACTGTACTATACTGCATTATACTGTACTGCACTGTACTGTACTGTACTGTAACATGTGCTGTACTGTACTGTACTGTACTGCATTATACTGTACTGTACTGCATTATACTGTACTGTACTGCATTATACTGTACTGCACTGTACTGTACTGTACTGTACTCTACTGTACATCTCTTCTGTACCTCTTCTTTTCAACTGTACTGTACTGTACTGCATTGTACTGTAGTGTACTGCATTGTACTGTACTGTACTCTACTGTACCGCATTGTACTGTACTGTACTGTACTGTACTCTGGATTTATTTTGTGCTTTAAAATGCATCTCCTCTGGCACACATTTCCTGAACGATTTGGTAAATAAAGGAAAGATTCAGTGCACCAGAAAGGATGTTTACAAAGAGCACAAAAGTCGAAACGAGATCAGAAATTTTTGTGCTTACCAATTCTCGAAAAGCACCCGGTGTTAGATAGGTGTAAACAGCGGCCCCAATCGTCGCTCCCAAAATGAACATCACACAAGCGATCGCACAAAAAGCCGCACATCCCGAAGCACGGCGACGATTGTGTGGAAGACGGGGATCGCTCCACACTGAAATATTGTTTTTGCTTTTTTTTACGCTACGTTTTTCAGTGGTACAAACTACAAACGTATACTACAAACGTAAGCTTTTTTGCAGAAAGTGGTATAGAGGGGTTTTTTTTTTCAGCTAATGCTAGACAACTAGAATTCTTTTCTATTGTTCCATATTGTTTATATGCTTCTATTCTTTTCTTTTCTGTTGTTTTGTGTTTTTTTTTTATGCTAGACATGGCAGTAAAAGCTACAAACGTAAACTCTAAGGTAAACTATAAACGTAAGCTACAAACGTATACTAGCAAATTGCGTAAAATTCAAACTGTGACGCAGTGGTTCCAATTTGGTTCCAATATGGTTCCAATATGGTTCGGATACGGTTCCAATATGGTTCCAATATCGCCTCGCGCACCCAAGACCCGGGTTCGACCCCGGCCAGTGACCTTGCGTCTCTGGCAAACATTTGTTTACGCTTTCTGAAGCTGTTCAGCTGATCGTTCTCATCTAAACAAATCTCTACCATGTTCAACGGGTGAACTCCTCTTCCCGTCTTCGTTCGTCTCGTCCACTAACAATTTCACTGTCGTCGGTGTTGGCATTTTGTTTAGAATCTCGAATAAACTAGTAATTTAGAAAGAAAATAGGTTTTGAAGCTTTAAAATAACATAAGTTGATTGGTCGAACGTGGAGTTGATCTGAAAAGTTTAAATTTGAAAATTTGAAATTCAAAATGATTGCTGAAAAAGCTGAAAAGGCTGAAAAAGCTGAAAAGGCTCAAGAAGCTCAAGAAGCTCAAAAGGCTCAAAAGGCTCAAGAAGCTCAAGAAGCTCAAAAGGCTCAAAAGGCTCAAGAAGCTCAAGAAGCTCAAAAGGCTCAAAAGGCTCAAGAAGCTCAAGAAGCTCAAAAGGCTCAAAAGGCTCAAGAAGCTCAAGAAGCTCCAGAAGCTCAAGTAGCTCAAGAAGCTCAAGAAGCTGAAACGGTTCAAGAAGCTCAAGAAGCTCCAGAAGCTCAAGAAGCTCAAGAAGCTCAAGAAGCTCAAGAAGCTCCAGAAGCTCAAGAAGCTCAAGAAGCTCCAGAAGCTCCAGAAGCTCCAGAAGCTCCAGAAGCTCCAGAAGCTCAAGAAGCTCCAGAAGCTCAAGAAGCTCCAGAAGCTCAAGAAGCTCCAGAAGCTCCAGAAGCTCAAGTAGCTCAAGAAGCTCAAGAAGCTCAAGAAGCTCAAAAAGCTCAAGAAGCTGAAAAAGTTCAAGTAGCTCAAGTAGCTCAAGAAGCTCAAAAAAAATTATATTTGAAGCTTATCTCGTCTTTTACATTGTAAATTTACATTTGAAGATCAAAATCAGTTTTAAATTTGCATTTTGTAAGTGTTTTGTGTTGAAGGATGATGGCCAAGTGGTTGTTTTTAGAGTTTGAAATGAAAATCTGTTTTTAGAGTTTGAAAAAGTCAACTTTTCGAGCTCAGATAGATCCAAAATGTATTCAATTGAGTAAAAAAGAGTGTAAACTTTACAATTTCGAATTTTCAATGATTCATTTTTACTTAAATTACTTAAATTCACTTCAAAGATGAAAGTTGAGCGTGAAAAGAGAAAAGAGAAGAAGAGCACTCAAGAAAGTGGGTTTCAAGTTTGAATTCTTGCGTTGAAGGATCGGATTTCAATGGGAATTTTGCAAAAGAAAGATAGAAAAAGATTTGAGGAGATGAGTAAAAGGGAAAAGCTCCCAAAAGACAACAGTTCATACCGATCACAAATATCCCAAGATTTCACAAGGAGCTCAGCAGCTTCAAAGTTCTTTTGTCAACTTTCTCGAGAAGAACTCGATTATGGTAAAGTAGATTATGGTAAGGGAGGTTATGGTAAACTCAATTATGGTTATGGTTTTAGATCAGTTTCACCCTCTAATCTCTATTTCATTTAGCGCACTCAAATTTTTAAGCAAAATTTGAGTCGCAAAACCGAGCTCTAGAGCTTCCAACCGAGCTCTAGAGCTTCCAACCTTCCAAATCTTTGGATATTTGTGATCGGTGTGAACTGTTGTGAACTGTTTCCCTTTTACTCATCTCCTCAAATCTTTTTCTTTAGGCAAAACAAGCATTTCGGTTCGGTTTTGCACTAGCTCGGTTGGAAGCTCTAGAGCTCGGTTGGAAGCTCTAGAGCTCGGTTGGAAGCTCTAGAAGCTTTAGAAGCTTCTAGAGCTTCTAGAGCTTCTAAAGCCAACCCAGAAGTCAGGCCAGTAACTAGCCAAGCTTGATCTTGACAGAGCACATTGACAGAGACATCTTTCAACTCTTACATTAAAATGCCTGAAAAAGTTGCCTAAAATAAAACATTTTTCAAAAATTCAAAAAAGCCATTTTGTAGATTAAGGATAGGGCTTTTGAATAAAGCAAACCGTTTTTTGATAAGCTTGGATAAACCGTTTGATTGGATAAGCCATTGTTTTCAGAAAACACATTACCCAAAAACGATCGTTTATAACTTGCCAACCTAATATTTGAAGTCGAAAAAGAAGAAGGAAAGCTCTCTAAAGCAAGAAAAAAAGATCTTAAAAATAAGAAATTATCTGTTTAAAAAGATTTCAAATACCGTATTCTCTCTAATAGTAGTGCACTCTTTAATAGTATTGCGCTCCAGGAGGGGGTTGAAAAAATAGTAGTGCACCCAGGGAAATTTGAATTTCTGGTGCTTCTTTTTCATATAAACCTTTTTATGTTTATGTGACATTCTAAAGCTATTCAAGTAAGCAAAAGTGAGGCTTTTTTTATTCATTTACCGTATTCTCTCTAATAGTAGTGCGCACTACTATTTTTTGAACCCCCTCCTGGACCGCAATACTATTAGAGAGTGCACTACTATTAAAGAGTTTTATCATTTACCAAAGTAAGTTCCAAAAATTCTTGCAACTCTTTCACGTACTCCTTTGGCTCCTTTTGACATACAGTTGTGGGCCGGCGAGTTGACAATTTGGATAGATTTGGGTCGACAAACTGGAGCTTGTGATTCAACTGGAGCTTGTGATTCAACTGGAGCTTGTGATTCAACTGGAGCTTGTGATTCAACTGGAGCTTGTGATTCAACTGGAGCTTGTGATTCAACTGGAGCTTGTGATTCATCTGGAGCTTGTGATTCATCTGGAGCTTGTGATTCATCTGGAGCTTGTGATTCATCTGGAGCTTGTGATTCATCTGGAGCTTGTGATTCATCTGGAGCTTGTGATTCATCTGGAGCTTGTGATTCATCTGGAGCTTGTGATTCAACTGGAGGCGAGTTGACAATTTGTGTGTTGACAAACAACAAAAAGATGTTTTTGCCCTTTGCACAACAATTTTAGATTTTTTTGCTAACTTTTTCATGTGAAGAATAGTTAATAAAGGAATAAAAAAAAGCCTCACTTTTTGCTTGCTTGAATAGCTTTAGAATGTCAAACATAAACATAAAGTCAAAAAGGTTTAGATGAAAAAGAAGCACCAGAAATTCAAATTTTCGTGGGTGCACTACTATTTTTTCAACCCCGTCTCGGACCGCAATACTATTAGAGAGTGCACTACTATTAAAGAGTGCACTATTATTAGAGAGAATACGGTATTAACTATTCTTCACATGAAAAAGTTAGCAAAAAAAAAAACTAAAATTGTTGTGCAAAGTGCAAAAACATCTTTTTGTTGTTTGTCAAGACACAAATTTTCAACTCGCCGGCCCACAATTGTATGTCAAAAGGAGCCAAAGGAGTACGTGAAAGGATTGCAAAAATTTTTGGAACAAATCTTATATCTGTCTTACTTTGGTAAATGATAAAACTCTTTAATAGTATTGCAGTCCAGGAGGGGGTTGAAAAAATAGTAGTGCGCACTACTATTAGAGAGAATACGGTATACACAAGATATGTTAACGTACTTTTAAATACCGAAAGATATGTTTTAAAAGCTTCTCTCACAAAAATAAGTTTAGCAACGCTTGTTTATATCCGAAGAACCTACCGTAAATACTGTAATAGTACCCCCCTCGTACAGTCGCGTAGTCGCAAAAGTTTTTTAATATTTCATTTTTTTCAAAGCGCCCGTACGCTTAAAAAAGGCGTCTTTGGTATCAAAAAATAGTTGAAATTCAGGGCTATTTTTTGATACCTAAGCGCGCTGTAGCGCGTACTGTAATAGTACCCCATAATGACCCATAATGACCCATAATGGGGTGACCCCATAATGACGGTGCGGAGCGTTGTGTAGTCTAGCTTTGAACGAGTTTTTCTCGACACTGGTTTATGCTACAATGCGCGTTTAGGTATCAAAAAATAGCTGAAATTCAGGGCTATTTTTTGATACCTAAGCGCGCATTGTAGCATAAACCAGTGTCGAGAAAAACTCGTTCAAAGCTAGACTACGCAACACTCCGCACCGTCATTATGGGGGTGGAGTACTATTACAGTATTTACGGTCATATAAACGGGGTCTTGATGCCTGATCGATTCGTATAACTATCAAATTCAACTCAGTTTTAGTTCAAAAATGTAAATTGAAAATGAAAAATGTTTTTGAGAATGAATGAAATATTTTTGAACTATTTAAAAAGCTGTAATTTTTGAGAACGCTATGGGTAATTAGAGGCTTTGACAGAGATCGTTTTCACTGAAAATCATGGATCTTTTTTGATTCATGAATTTTTTTAGGGTATTTTTGTGATTCCAAATTGTAAACCCGCCCTTGATACGCTCAAATCTTCATTTTTTTTGGGAGAAGCCTTTAATATTGGGTTGGTGAATTGAAAACTGCGGGCTATTGTCATAGGTGACAGTTTGAGCACTTTCTTCAAAAGAAACTCATTTTGGTGTCAACGGAAAAAAGAGTGAAAAAATAAAACACGACGAAAGACTGAAAAATTCTTTGTGGCTGGGTCCTTTTATTGCGTCGGGTTACGGTAGTTTCCGACGTTTGGCGCGGAAACGTCTGAAAGGCAAAGTGTACGGTGGACGGTCCGAAAGGCATCTGTCGTCACAATTTTATTATTTCAAGAGAGAATTCCTTTAAATTGATTTAAAGTAAAATGAAATTAAACCCAATTTGTTTAATTACTTTTAAAATTATTATTTTTTTATTATTATTATTTTTTATTATTATTATTTTTAATTCATTGGGTTGGTGAATTGAAAACTGCGGGCTATTGTCATATGTGACAGTTTGAGCACTTTCTTCAAAAGAAACCCATTTTGGTGTCAATGGAAAAGTTGTAGAGAATCAAAAATCAAGCTTATATCCAAATTTTCAGAACGATTCAAAAACTCGTTTTCAAGAAATGCCAAATTTACGAATTTTCACAAAACTTGCATTTCACAAAACATTTTAAGCGAAACTACTAAGTGTATCTTTTTGGAAATTTGGCTATAAGCCTAATTTTTGATTCTCTACAACTTTTCCATTGACACCAAAATGGATTTCTTTTGAAGAAAGTGCTCAAACTAGGACATTCCTCCATTTTTGAGTCTCCAGTCCTCCATTTTTGAATCTCACACTTGTCTCACACACAAACCAAAATCCTACTAGGAAAGAGGAATCCTTTAATTGCCTGTAAAATGGGCAGAAGTCGTCAATAATAATGGAAATTATTTG